TAATTCATTTTTTTAAATAGGTATACTACTAGACAATTTGCTTTGAAATTTTACCAAAAATTTCATTTTTACTAAACTTTGAAAGGTACTATAAAGAATGTAATAAAGGTGTCAATAACTATGTCAAAAATCTACTACTTAAAAAAAAGTATAAACCTTACACGGATCTGAATTCTAATAAAATTTTTGACTTATAAATTCTAGTAAGAAAAATTTAACTTATGTAACTAATTAAAAATACTAATGAAAACCTAGGTAATGTCCTTAAGATACCAATAATTGTACACTTTACCCTGTTGATAATATACGGACAGGAGTGTATTCACATATTTTCCGCCTATAGGCATTTAAAAATTTGGCACCCTTCATTACGTTATGACGGAGGGGGCTTATTTTTATATATTTTCGCCATAACACTACTAATTCTTCTTCTTCAAAAAAAAGAATTTGAAAATATTTTTCAAGCAAATCTATGTTTATTAATAAATCATAAAATAAATTACTTGTAGCTCTTAATATACATGTCATAAATACACAATAAATGAAAACGATTATGATAATTATTAGAAAGTAAATATGTCTAAACAATAATAAAATCATAATTGGTTTTTTATAAATTTATTGGCCTTCAATATTTGTCGCCCCTTAAAATATGCCGCTGTACGCAGTTGGCTGCATATAAATATAAATAGGCCGCTGTGTACGGGTAGTTCAAAATTTGTATTTAGTGGTGGTCGGACGGTCATTGCCATGCGAAAGCGAGGCAAACACGACGCAGGGGACGGGCAATGGATTATGTGTCGGTATTTATTATTATATTAACAATATACAAGATTAAAAGTCGGACAAGACGAACAAGGCGCAGCAGACGGGCAATAGCATATACATCGGTTGTTATTCTAATATATCTACTGTATTTTAATATATATAATTAATCCACCCCCACCATAATATATGGTATGGATATTGTAATAACTAAAAATAAAGTTGTCGGGGATGATATTAATAAAGAAGAATGATAATGGCATGATCAGTAAATACATAACAAATAAAAGTACTTTGCTTCTAGTTATTACTTGATTAGTGTAGTTAGTGTGTTGAAAACTACTCTTACCTGATATTCCTTAACAGCAGAGTATCGTTCACAGTGTATGAAGGAAGGATGAATATTGCAGGTTTGTTATGTTTTTTAAATTAAAAAATAGATTGTTGCACAAGCGTATATTGTAAATTAATAAATAGTTATTTAACAAGAGTGTACCTCAGATTAAACTATGGACTTATATTAATAAAGAGACACCAAGTCAGGATACAAGTTTTAGAAAATAATACAAAAAAGAAGACAGCAAATTAAGAAAAAGAGTTAAGCTAAGTACTTAAGTGTGTTCGCGAGAGGAGATAAAATAAGACTGAGCCTTTGACAGATGTCAAAGATCAACCAGAGCTCAGAGGGCTCTTATATTTGTAAAAACAGATGAAAGTAATAAAATTTATGTGATAATAAAAGAAAGGTGTGCTTTACAAGAGGTACAGGGAATGATTTTAATTACATTATTGTCTGTTTAGGATGTGTAAACAAACAATGACGATTAGTGTGTTATGAAGTTGTATCAGGTAATTTATGACTTTATTCGACAAGGATTATGTAAACAAAATTAAATTATTACACGCCTCAGGGGTATCGGTATATTATTGGTAAGCGTTGGTGAGATGTATGACTTCAATTAAATAATAAAAAGAATAATTACAATATAATGTGTTGTAACTCAAGAATATATAAATTAAAGGAACAAATAATATATCAGTATATATGTATATTAGGGTGGAGGGTCAATCCATGCCAAATCATCCAGAAGTGGTTGCACGACCACCTCATATTTTTCTGAAATTTTCAGGGTTTATTCATTATGCAATATTTAGATTAAAACAATTTTTTTTTTTTTTATGATCTTCCCATTTTTATGGCTATTTCAATGTAAAAAAAGTTAAAAATAGCTAGATCGTTAAAAAACACACAGAATATTCAATTTCAACTCAATCGAATTAAAATTTTAGATTTGGCTCTATTATAACTTAAAGTTTACATTAAAAAAAAAAAAAAAAAAATTATATGAAATTTTAAACTTTAACGACTTTCAACAAATGGCCCTTTTTTGTGAAAATTGGCGTTTTTGAGCTCACTTAAAACCATTAAGAAGTTATTATTTTATTGTGATTTTTACATGTGGTATTGAATAGTGTATAATCTATGTTTCAACTAAATTTCAAATATTTACAACAATTATCTTGGGATTTAGAGGCCTAACAAAATTAGAAATTTTATAAAAATACGTGTATTCTAAGTGCAATATCTCTGTTGGGTAACCTAATTTCCAAAAAAAAAATTTTTAGTTTTGTAGATATACGTCTGTTTTATACACCATAAAAATTTGAAGTTTTAGAAAAATGTGTAACATGTAAAATTTAGCATTAGAAAATCAGTAAAAATCAAATAATTTAATGATAGTTTTTTGTTGTTTTCAAACCACATTTTTGTAATTTTTTTTGTATATCATTGTATATGTAATATATTATAATTCAATATAATTATTAGACACGTTATAAATATTCAATTCATTATTTTAGTTCGAAAATAAAAAATAAATAAATTAAATTATTATGATAATATAATAAATATATAAATATTTTACAATATTATTATAATCATGTTTTTTTTAGTAGTTAGAATATTGTGTCTTCATAAATGTCAGTTAATGATATCTTAAGACTTCTTATGTTATTGTTATTAATTGATAAAAATCTGTGATTAATTTTAATTTTAATTAATTAATTTTGATACATTTGTTACTTTTCTTTTTGCTGTTCAACCAACTCCATCGCTGGCCTATTTTGCCATAACACAAAGCAAATTAATGCCATTCTGCATTCTGCACATTCTGAGGTGGATATTTTATGCCTTTAATTTTTTCATCGTAAAATTGAAAAATTTCAATTGGCGTTAATATTTGGTAATAACCAACTCGTTTCAGACTACATTTATCAAGCGAAATTATAATTTTGTAGTACAGGATGAAATTCAAAGCTTCCACTGGGTTAATAAACAAGCCGCAATTATTCCTTTTGTTATTTATTATAAATAGACGATATATTTAATTGTCGATGTATTTATAAAATTAGTGATTACATGGAATATAATAATGTTTCTGTTCAAGAAAAGTAACAAAATGTATCAAAATTAAAGAGATAAAATACATTAATATATCCACCTCAGAAATACAACAAAACACCTAATATGGGATTTAAATTATGTAAAACTATTCCCGGGAATAGAGAAAATCACAGATTTTTATCAATTAATAACAATACCATAAAAAGTCTTAAGATATCATTAACTGACATTTATGAAGACACAATATTCTAACTACTAAAAAAACCAATTTTATATATACCTTTGAAATCGTTTTTATTAGTTTATTTGAAGATTGCAGATGAAATATTCAACATACAATTTAATTATCAACATTTTCAAAATGTTGTTCATTTTTCAACTCATAGGATTAGCACATTCAACGTGATTTCAATATTTATATAATTTGAATTTATAAATCTATGATATTATCAAGAAATGACACCTTATTTTATGAACAGATCATAAACTCAAGTTCATTTAAAAAAAAACAACTAAAAAAGGTATGTTTAACAAGGTGGATTTTTGTCAGTCTGCAACTCAACGTGATTTGCCGTTTGCATAACGACTAGCGTTGTTAGCAAGAGTCGACACCACCTAGGCGAGGTGTCACACCTATCAGATATAACTACTGAAGCATAGATGAAATTTAATTTTCATTTAAGTAACAATTTAATTAGAGTTAATATGTCATTAAATATTAATAATTATAACACCTAATGGTTTATTAATTACAACTATGATAATTGAAGTTATTCGGATAAATAGAAGGATTGAAATTGAGGTGGGTAGAGGAAGGGGCTTGGTCAATTTAAGGAGGGTGAAACGAAGGTATGACAAAAGAAGTCATTCAATATGGCAGAGGAGGCTACGAGCTTTATAACGACGACCACTCTCTTTTTAACCCAAACAAAATTTGAAAGGGGGAACCTGATATAGACTGGGAACCCCCTTTAAACCTAACTCCAACTTACGGGCCCCTCTCTCGAAATCCCATTATATCATTCTCCTTTCCTCGTTACTCAATGCAAGTTTACTTAAAGTCAAGGGGAGTCCTCATAGCGCTGGTATAGGAAACCCACGAAAGTTAAGGCCTACCTGCGCATGCACACTAGATCTTAAATCCTACGAAATGCTTGGAGAGGAGAGAATAGGGTCATTCAAAATGGCGAAACTAAACTCCTTGTAGATGGATATCTTGAAACATTATTTTTATTTTTCATAAATTTTAAATTAAAAAACTTTATTTTAATAAATTAAAAACACTATGTTATGTCTTCTTTTTTGATATTTTCTATGCGTTTTATGAGACAGATTATTTTTGATATGACTTCAAGACAAATTATTTTTAGTATATCATTTTAATATGGAAATTTTACTACAATAATAAAAAATGTTCAGTACCATAGTACTAAAAATTTTTTTTCTATAATTTATTTATAACTAATATTTAGCATGAAAAAATTTCGTTTTCTCAATTTATTCAAATTATTATAAATTTTAAAATGCAACAGATTATTCAACATTAATAAAATATTCTTTTACCAAATTTTTTTGTTAAAATCTACACTACGAAATAAAGTGGAACCTTGATTAACCGTGTTTCGATTATCTGTGTTTACAATTAACCGTGCTCACTCTTCCGAAAATGTAAAAATAGTTATGGATTATACATACTATAAATAGTTCTAATAAAATATTTTATATTATACATAATATACGATATCGACAAACGTATTAATGACTTTTTTAGCGATAACAATATAAAGATATACAATAATGTAGATTATTATAAATTTTATTTATTGTATGACCTTCAGTTTAATTTAAGCGTTCGCTATAGCCGTTCAGACGTACTCTAATTATGAGTGTTAAACGAAAACGTATCGTTCTTTCTCCTGAGAAAAAAGTGTTTATTATTAACTGAGCTGTAGATCGTGGTGAAAGTATACAAAAACTTGAGGACGAGTTCGGCGTGGGTCAACAGACAGTTCGTGACTTAATTAAACAAAAAATTGGAATTTTCAAGTTCATATCTTCTGCAAAATTATCAGCTATGAAAAAAACTATGAAAAAGTCATCATTATCTAATATGGAATCTGTTCTTTTTGAATGGTTTAAACAGAAGCGTATTGAAGGAATTCCAATTTCTGGGTCAATGGTTTGTGAAAAAGCAAAATGGTTTCAAGAAAATTTGAAAATAGAGGAAAAATTAAATGATTCACAAGGCTGGTTATTTAAATTTAATATTCGTCATGGTATAAGACAGCTGGATACTCAAGGCGAATGTCTAAGTGGAGATTTGACTGCTGCAAAACTGTTTAATGACGAATTCAATTTGCTTTCAAAATTAAACCTGTCCCCTGAACAAGTGTACAAAGCAGATGAATCAGGTTTATTCTGGAAAATGTTATCCTCAAAAACACTTGCTGTAATCTGAAAAATCAGCTCCTGGACATAAATCTAGCAAAGAACGGCTTACTATTATGACATGTTCAAATGCAACCGTTACACATAAGATCAAATTAACTGTAATTGGAAAAGCTAAAAAACCAAGAGCTTTTAAAAAAACCAAAATTAAATATTTTCCATGTGATAATTACCACCATCAAAAAGCTTGGATGAACCAGATTATATTAGTGAATAGTATTTCAATGTTTTTGTAAACAAATTTCAGGATGAAAAAGGTATACCAAAATAAGCTGTTCTTCTGCTTGATAATGCTCCTTCACACCCCTCAGAATCTACCCTGAAAACAATGGATGGTCAAATTTTTGTCTACTATCAACCTATTTGAAACAAATGTACAAAAAGATATTTCTCTGTTATCTCTTACAAGAAAATTTTTTTGATTCGATGAAAGAACTTTTGAGAACGTGGACCATAAAAGATGCCATTGAGAAAATGTACCTGCAAGTATGTTAAGACTTTCTTGGGCGAAAATCTTAGATCAAGACTATAATGACGAAGAAAATGTCAAAGATACAGATATAGAAGCTAGGAAAATTATTTCAAACCAAAAAAAAAAACAAAGGCTAATCACTTCATATTTTATGTCCTAATAACTTGTTATGCATGTATAATTGGTATGGATATATAACATTATTACATTTCTTTTTATAATTAAAATAAAATGTTTTAAAATTTCATTATTTTAAAAATTCTTGATCAACCGTGATTTTTATTTATCCGTGTGACCTGCTCCCCACAATTAACCCGGATAATGAATGTTCCATTGTAAATATTTTGAAATTTTTTTCGCATTTTTCATAAATACTAAATTATTATTATTTTTTCAATAGATTATAAGAATATGGTATCTTATGTTATTTGTATAGTCCTCAATTACACAAATTATTTAACAAATTTATTAATGTAAAATATTAATTAAATCAAAAGTTACTGAATTTGTCATGTCTTTATGACTCACTCTGTATATGCCGATACATACATTATAATATTTATGCAATAAGAAATAACATAATATTCTTGTATATAATATTTAAAAAATATTTTGTTTATTTTTTGAAATCATTTAAAAATCAATTTTGTAATTATTTTAATTCTTGATATATTAAAAACATATCTTAGATCAAAAAAAAATCTTATACTCTCCACGAAGTATCAAATTTGTTTATTTTCATAATCGGTGGCTAAGTTTTCAATCATCTCTGAAACAAAATAAAATTGTAAAATTATTAACATAACGCGAGCTTGCTTTTATTCCTAAAAATAAATATATAAAATTGAAAAATATTGAAGTTATATCGATAAGTTGGCGATATAAGATCTAAACGATTCTGATTGAAAATTTTTAAATGTAAGAACAATGTTTTGATATTTTTAGGTTAAAGTTGGATAGAACTTACTAATAACATCATACTGATAAACTGTCACTGAGCAACTAGCTTTATTATTAATGCGTATCTTACATGTCACAACATATAATCAGTACACATATAATCTATAGATATATATATAACAGATATTTTTGATTTGTAAACACATATTTAGTATCTTATTATAATAAATGTTATTCATAATTAAAATGTATAGGCCTAAAGTGCCAATTTTTTCTAATTAAACTGATAAAAGTATAGTTTAATTTATATATTAAAGTAAGTTGGCAAATGTTGAGAGGTCACGATCGTTGATTTGCTACCTTAATGACATCTGTGAATAAAATGGAACGGTTGGTAGTATTGATAAAAGTAAGTATAATATTAAGATAAAATATATCAAAAAAAAAATAAATTTGTTTAGTATAACATAAAAATGATTTTATGATTCAGAAATTGAGAAAACAATGAACTAAAAGAAATCGATAAAAAAAATTATCAATAATATTTTTAATCTTCAATTACCTATATAATTCATCATAAAAGAATCACTATGCACAAAAGTATTAATAGAATCATAACAAAAGAATTATTCAGTATATTGTTATGTAATTTTTAAAAAATGTGAACGTTGAAAACCCTCTGAATATGTCCAAGGTAATTTTTATATAAATTATCGAAAATTTGTACACAACTATAATATTTTTATCAATATTTATCAACATTTTATGCGTTAAAATAGTCTACATTATATTTATTACAAACGTCATATTTATGCCTATTAAAGTAACTGAAAACTTTCATAAATAAAATCTAAGTATTTTAATTATACATTATTAATTTTCAGAAAATAGTCTAAAAAATAATCAGTATAAAAAAAACATACAATTTTTACCATTTAAAGGATTAAAAATTTTATGAGTACTTCTAAATTTTTAAAAAAATTATAATGATTACCTTTGTAATTGAATTGATATTCCTCATTTGAATACTTGTTGAGTACCTTTTCAATAAAAATGTTTGATAAGGTATCTTTAAGTAATCCGCTCTTCGATATAATTTCTCTTGCATAATCTTTTGTTACTGTGCCAGTAGCATTTTTATCAACATCAGAAAGCTTTTGATGAACATTCTTTTCGAGGGATATTAATGAATCAAGAAATTGTATCATAATTTCCGTTGCAATATACTCATTAGAATCTAAAGAATTACCAAAAAAATTTCATTAGTATAAAATATTAATCTGCGTGTCAAAATAAAATTAGAGCATAAAAAAATGTTTCGCTCTTCAATAAATGTAATAATATTCATGAAAACATCAATCAATTGATTTTTATAATTAATTCTATAAATGAATTTAAAGTTTTATATCTGTCAATATAAAACAAATCTATTTTGCTTGATCCGGCAATCATACATCACATTTGTTAGTAAATAATAAAAACAATTTAAGCTATTTCAAAATTTCAAANAATGAATTTAAAGTTTTATATCTGTCAATATAAAACAAATCTATTTTGCTTGATCCGGCAATCATACATCACATTTGTTAGTAGATAATAAAACAATTTAAGCAAGTTCAAAATTTCAATGTCGTTTTTCTTGACTTTATGAAGACAAAAATTTTAAATCAGAATAACTTTATATTCAATTTAAGTTAAATTTGTATAACTATTATATAAATCGATGACCTAATCACTGTGACCTCCACTTATATCACCTAGTTGTACATTGTTTAGAAGTTAATAACGCTGTAAAATTAAAATTGAAAAAAAAAGATGCATAAAGTAAGTTTCAAATTAGATTTTTTTGGTGAGGCGTTGGATTCCTCATTCTCTTTTTCAAGTTTAAAGTCAAAATAAATATTTTCGAAAAAAAAAAATTATGGTCGTCTAACCACTCCTTTCTTAATACGCAAATGCAGTTTATGCTAATACTTCTTTCTTAAAAACACATTTAAATAAGTTTTTATACAACAATTTATTAAAATTGTTTGAGTTTCGCAATTCTTACACAAAAGATGTAATTTTTTCTTTAACTTCAATGTCCGTTTCCACCACGAAGACAAGTCCAGTGGTAAATATAAAATATTTACGAAAAATAAATTGTATTGATTCATAGATTTTTCAAAAAGTTATAACAATATAATGTCAAAAATTTTAAATCGAGAATTTTAACACAATATTAGTATATTTTTATAGAGATAAGTCGTGTATAATTTTTTTTTTTTTATCAAAATAAAGTATATTACATAATTTTTAACTTAGGATATATATGTATAAATGTCAGTATTTCCGGATCATTTCCAAGAGTTAAGTTGAAAAAAAGTTCTTAATATTACCTGTTGTGATCAGTACCTAAAATTATCGTGAACCCTTACAATTAAAATGTAATACGTTATTGCAATTGATAGAATATTAGTGTAGATCAAAAAAAGTCGTTCTTCGAAATTTTAATGAGAACCATTTTTAAACAAAATTTTACTGGTCTCTCAACGTGTTTTTAGTATTTTGACTAAAAACACCCCTAAAAACAAAAAACTGCTTCTGTTATTCATTTTTTGGTCAAATATTATAATTATTATATCAAAATTGTTTGATTTTTACTATAGAATACAAATTTTTTAGTTTCCAAATTTTAAGTCGAAAATTGACAGCGTGGATATCATAATTATCGTCATTATATAGTATATTTCTATTACTTTTAATGGCGCTACACGCGATTTAGACGCTACAAGTCGGACCGTATGATTTTCATGCGCATCGGTAGCACGTAGATAAACGCACGCACCAAAAGCCTTTTCGCTGGCGTCAGAAAAACCGTGAATTTGAATAAATTTGAACGCGTCACACCCGATTATTCGACGCGGTATTTTTAAACAATCGATTTGCGTTAGACTATCACAAAACGCATTCCAATCCGTACTGATACGTTCAGACACTTGCTCGTCCCATTGCATTGACATTTTCCACAATAATTGTATTATGATCTTTGCCACTACCACTATGGGAGATATCAATCCCAGTGGATCATAAATTGCCGCAATCGTCGATAAGATATAACGTTTTGTTATCGGCCGCTGATTACCTGTTACAGCAGTATTGTATTTATACAGATAAACATCGTCGGCGGTATTCCACAACAGATCAAGCGTTTTAATAGCANTCCACAACAGACCAAGCGTTTTAATAGCATCGTTGCCTAAACTCATTGTGTGCATTGTATCATTATTTTTGTTATTTATGTTTACTAATATCGACGGATCATTTGATGTCCATTTTCGAAAAACAAATCGAGCACTAAATAACAACCCTGAAATAGTGTTTCCCAACGTAGCCGCCTCTTCCTTGGTGTTCGCACCCGTTAATAAGTCATCCATATACATATCAAATTCGATAGCTTGACAAGCGACAGGTACTCCCTTTTATTTTCTTCGGCCAACCTTTTAGCTTCGATGCGAAGCTGAGAAGGTATTGGTTTTACTAAGATGTGTTTTTTTTTTTTTTTTTTTTTTGTGTCTGTTACCACTTTTTCTCAGCTCTCACTGAACGGATTTCTTTCAACGATACGTCAAAAGATCACAAATTGTATCTAGTCGAAGACATTACCCTTCAAAATTGAAAAAATTTCCCTCGTTCCCCGTAAATGGGGGAAACCTCCAAAAAAATTACAAATTTAAAAATCGCTAATTTTCGAAATTTTTTCAATTTTTTTTACTAAAAACTGCCGTAACTTTTTCAAAAATGAATATATCAATATATTTTTTTTTTATATAGATGCTTGATGTCTTTACCTATCATTTGGTATATTTTTTTTGTAAATTTGACACTTAACCTGCCCACAGGGGGGGATTTAAAATGACAACTTTTTCACAAAAAATTATCTTTTTCAACTTAATTTTTGAAAGTGTTCCGAAAAGTTTGACTCTTTTATATATATCTTAAATTAAAGCTAATGTAATGTACTTTATTATGAAAAAAGAAAATTAGACCTCTGGACTTGTCTTCGTGGTGAAAATTGACATCAAAGTTAATAAAAAATTACGATTTTTGTAAAATAATTTTTTTTTATATTTTTAACTTAATAATGCTCTAACTTTTTCAAAAATGAACATATCAATATAATTTTTTTTTATATAGATGGTTGATGTCTTTACTTATCATTTGGTATATTTTTTTTGTAAATCTGACACTTAACCTGCCCACAGGGGGGGATTTAAAATGACAACTTTTTCACAA